CGCCGCCGCCACTGCCACTGCCACTGCCGCAGTCGTTAAGCCTGAACATCGCAGTTCGATGGTCTTCGGCCATTCGCCGGCCGTACTGACCGAGTTCTCGCGCTGCACGTGCATCCTCTGCGGTCTGCAGTTCTCGAGCATTTGGATACTGAAAGCACACCTGGAACAGGTCCATCGCAAGTTTGTACCCGTGGATGAAATCGAGAAGCTGGGCGACGACTTTAAGGCCGCGTACGACAAGAAGTACGCGGAACTGGGAATGCCACCGTTTGTAACCGCTGGAGCCACTTCAGACAATGCTGAGATGGCCGATGCTGTCGTTGGCGGCTATGGTCAGTTCGGCAACGGTAGCGGCAAGCAAGTGTTGCCGTCGCCTGCCACCGGCATTCAGTACCCTTTCGGAGGCAACGTGTCAAACGAGGCGATTGCGCACAACATACAGAATCTGGCAGGCCTCGGTTTCGGCGTGCCATTCCCTTTCATCGGCATGCCGCTCAGTGCTTACGGAGTTCTGAACTCTTATATGTCTTTGCTGGCCGTGCGCAACTACGAAGCATGGAACATGAACGGTCGCGCTGCAGCCGCTGCGGCCGTCGCCGCAGAGTCGTTGACGGCTGCAGCCGCCGCCGCCGTCGCCGCCGCTGTCGCCGCATCGTCGTCTGGCGGTTCAGTGTCCGGCGGCAGCGGAAGCGGCAAGCCGTTGATGACCCCAGCCGCGACGCCGAACGCCGCCGCACTGTCGTCGTTGCTGCTTCAGCAGCAGCAGAAAAGGGCGAGGACACGCATCACCGACGAACAGCTGAAAATCTTGCGAGAGTATTTCGATATTAACAATTCGCCGACCGAAGAGCAGGTGGAGGAGATGTCGCGCAAGTCCGGCCTGCCGCAGAAGGTCATCAAGCATTGGTTCCGCAACACCCTGTTCAAGGAGCGCCAGCGCAACAAGGACTCGCCCTACAACTTCTCGATTCCGCCATCTTGCGGCATAGATCTGGAGGAGTATGAGAAGACCGGTGAAACGAAGGTCATTCCGCTGACCGTCGTCGACGACTCTAAGCCAGATCCTCAGTCAGATGCTGCCTGTGTCACCAGCGATGAGAGCGCGCCTGGCAGCAGTGACAAGTTGTCACTCGAGGATCCAAGCGAAGCAGTGAAGAAGAACGGCGACGCGCATGACCGAAAAAACATTGCAGAGGGTGCACGTGCAGACAGCGGAGGTAACTGCAGTGCTGGGAGCAAAGAGGGTGCCGCCACCGCTGTCTGCTCGGTCATGAAACAGGAACCCCTGACTGCCGCCGACTTTCCGGCAAAATCAGCTAGTAACGACGGCCAGCTGAGCAACGCAGAGTCGTCGAAGTCAGACGAGGAACAGTTACAGGCTGAAGGGAGTGGAA